GAAAAACTATGAAGATTTGCAGCACTTTAAAAATGTTTTTCTGAGCTAACTAGTTCAATCAGTAGCAATTACATTCAAGCAGGACATAACTGTCCAGAACTGCTGAGTCAACTCACATCATTGGGATAGGGAATCCTCACAGAGACAGCCTTTTCCAGCCTGTGTCCATGCTGGCTGGGGATGATGTGGGTTGTAGTCCAATCCATTTAGAGAGCACCAGGAGACACAAGGGATACGCAAGCTTTTGAAAAGTCCTAAATCGAAGTCTGCCGCACACATCTGAAAACTCAGTGCTCTCTTAGCTGGAAATTCAAGGTGTTCCGGGCCCAATTCAAGGTGTTGGTGATGACCTATAAAGCCCTAAACGGCTTGGGTCCTGGTTACCTGAAGGAGCGCTTACATCCATATATGCCCGCCTGCCCCTTGAGATCTGCGGGAGAGGCCCTTCTCCGGGAACCCTCCGTGAAGGAAATTAGGAGGGTGGTTACTCGGAGGAGGGCTTTCTCTGCGGTGGCGCCCCACCTATGGAATGCGCTCCCCAGAGAGGTCCACCTGGCGCCGTCGTTATTTGTTTTTCAGTGCCAGGCGAAGACCTTTTTATTTAAACGTCATTTTAATTGTTAATATTATTTGCTTATTTTATCTGGCCAGGGCGACTTATTTTACATTGTTAATTTATTTTAATTTTATGTTGTGAGCCGCCCCGAGGCTTTGGCGAATGGGGCGGCATAGAAATGTTTTAATTAATAAATAAATAAATAAATAAATAAATAACGATGCCTCGCACAGTGAGGGGTTGCCATGAAATTCACTGCCGGGAGAGGATATGAGGGTCACCATATCGTGGAGCAATCGTGGAGAAGGCAACCCATGGCTGCTGGTCCCGATGGCCACGTGCTACCTCCAGATCAGAGTCCATCTGCCTATGGACACCAGTTGCTGGGGAACGTGGCTGGTAGCACAGTCACACCCACATCCCGAATTTGGATTTACTGTAAGGAGCTGCCCAGCCACTGTGAGAACAGAAGGCTAGTCCGGAAGGCTCTTGACCTGATCCAGCATGGCTTTCCTTATGTTTGTTTGTTTGGAGTTTTTGTATGCCTTCCCATTCGCATGAGCCTCGGGACGGTTTCCAATACAATAAATAAACAAGCATATAAATAGTACATATAAAATCTGGATTCACCCTGGCTGTAGAATTAAAACCAATACATAATATTAACAGTTACTAAAATATTGTTTAAATAAAAAGGTCTTGGCCTGGCGCCGAAAAACAAGTCACGACGGCGCCAGGCAGACCTCTCTGGGGAGCGCATTCCACGTTCTTACTGCTGAAAGAGATTGGGCTACATGCACGGGACTGAGCTGAACAGAAATTCTCTCCTCAGTTCCTTCACCTCCCTTATTTATTTAAATTTTTTCTATGCCATCCATTAATTAAAAAACGTTTCTGGGGGTCTTACAAGGAAGAACGCCTTACCCTTCTCTCCATTCTATGCGTTGCCTCCCCCATTCTGTCAAATTTTAGATCATAAGGTCCTTTGGGTCTTGTTTGTATTATCCTGCAAACTTAAGACGCACTTTGATGGCACTGTACAAATAACACTGGCTCGGAAAATTAATGTCACCACCAACTCTTAACACCACGTTAAACTGGCAAGCTCTCAAACATAACCCTACAGGTAAAGAAATATTTGTTGAGTTTCTTCAGACTCATTTCCCTGACGTGAAAATGGATGGCGCCTCCAAAAATCCAATTATAATGTTGGAAGGCCCAGCAGTGACAAAATTATTGAGTTCCTTGTCAAGAACCTCATTTAACCACGCAATGAAATATCACCGAGAATCACGGCTGGGAGATTGATCCTCCAGCCACTGGATACACGGCGAAGGCCATCTGGCAAGTGCCACAGGTTTGGGGGCATGTCGGGAGTTGAGTCCATCGCTACAGAGAGGCCAACACACCAAGGGCAATGGCCTGACCTGCCCATCTACACACGTGGCCCACACGTGACCAATCCACACCTGTGGAGAACTACGAGACATACACATTTCAGCACTGATTTAAGGGAAACCCGTCAGATATCCCCTATCGATATGATTTCCTGCCTTGTCTTTCTTTTCCAAACCTCTGGATTTTACTGTTGCCCAGTGTGGGAGCAGCTGACCTGACCACTTGTCCACATTCGTGGACAAAACCCAGAAATACTATGTAGTGCTTTAAGTGCAAGTCTCAGCACCTCCAACTGGGCCTGGAAGAAAATGAGTAAAGCTGCTCCCTGGATGTGCTCCGTTGTGGTGGTTGTTCTGCTGCCAGAAGCTGCACCCCGGCAGGCACTGCAGAGGGGGGAAGCTTTCTCCTCAGCCCCCCGGATCAACTCACCTTCCTAGAGCAGACAGCGGGGGACGAGGCAGAGAAATCGAAGGAGAGCCTCCCTCCCTGTTCCGCCTTCTGGCAGCAGCGTGACCACGACGGATGTCTCTATCTGGCAGTGCACTGCATCAGAACATAAGGAGCCACGCTGACATATGTCAAAGGCCTTTCTAGTCCACACTTCTGGTCACTCAGTGGCCAAGCAGATGTCCGTGGGAAGCCCACAAGGAGGACATGGGTGCAAAAGCACCCTCCTGCCCATCTTCCCCAGCATACTGCCTTGGGTACTGGAAAATTATAGCCATCCTGACTTGTAAGTGTCATCTTCCATGACACAAACACTCATTGTTCTCATCTTCCACACCTTGATGTGATCATTCAGAGACTGTCAAGCTCAGGGTTCACCTGGGGTTTCCGTCCACTGATCCTGAACTTTACTCTGAGGAAATGGACAAAAGCAGCTCTCTTTCCTTTGTTTGGGACCCACCAATGGAACCCACCCTGCCATGTCAAGCTGAGGCTCCCCTCTGCTCGCCTGAGGCCATGTTGTCACCCCAGGCCCCGAGACGATTCACCCCGTGCCTCTTCCAGAAAAGGAGCGTGATGCGTTTTGCAGCTTCCCTCCTCTGTGCATCCTTGCTCTGATGTCCTGTTGCAGCCCCTCCTCCTAGAGAGGTACAGGTGGGGGATAGTTGTAACAGGGCCTTTTGGGTAGCAGCACCCCTAGTTGTGGAAACCCCTTTGCAGGGAGGTTGGACTCAGTGTCTCGAGCATGCATGAAGGAGACGAGCAATCCACAAATATTCTCAGTGCAGAATGCACAACGCACATCAGAAGTACGCCCAGGAGTTTCAGTCGCAAAGCTAATCTTGGCTCACCTCCTGCTTCGGCATACTTTTTCCGACAAAACCTGGTTCACATGGTTGTTGTGAAAACAAAGTTGCAGAAATTCATGCAACCTGCCTTGGGATCCCTCATAGAAAGGCAGAAGCTGCATGGAATGGACTAAATAATTGAAGGCTTAGTTTCTTATTTATTTTCCATCCCATCTTCTTCCAAGGAACCCAAGGCAGCTTACTTGGTCTGTCTCCTCTCCATTTTTATCTCAACCACCTTACAGGGTAGGTTATACTGAACCCCAATAACCAGTGCCAAATCACTCAGATCTCCCAAGACCCAATCCAAGAACTCTGTCCACACCGACTCTGCAATGAGAAGCTAGGGTTTGGGTTTTTTAATAATAAAATTATAGTACATTTCAAACATGCGAAGCAGGGGTGGGGGATACCTGCTTCCTTTATCCTTTTATGCACCTCTCTGGAGAATGTGGTTTATAAACGACGGTTTCCTCTCCCTATAACCCACCCAACACGGGCAGAACAGACACCCAACAAGAAACAGAAACAGACACCCAACAAGGGGGAGCGCCGGGGGGGTGCCCTCCCACATTTTCTCTGTCCGAACCCCTCCCCCCTTAACTAGCATCATCAAAAGGCAGTTTTGCAATTTAGCTTTTGGAGGATCTGCACCCCAGGTGAGCTGCCCCCTACTTTTGGGGCGCCCCCTGCCCGGAGTTCAGCCGGCTAAGCCCGTGCTGGTCCTCCCCAGCCCTCGCCACATTGTCCGCCCAGCCGGAGGAGCTGCTGGCTGGCTGCCTGACCCCGTCCTTTCCTCCCTCCCCAGCCCTGCCCGGAGACGGCCCTGCTATTACATAAGGGGCTTATGTAATGGCCCTCGCGGTCCACCTCCGCTGCCCTCGCCCAGCGGGCGCCGTCGCAGTCTCCATTCAGAGAGCCCGCGCACCGCTCGCGCGCGCCCCAGCCTGGCACCCCGCATCTCCGCCGCGCAGAAAGCGGGGGGGAACGCAGAGGCGGAGGGGCGACTTCGCGGCGCCCAGGTAAGTGGAGGGAGCCTGGACTCCCCGTCGTGGGGCTCCGACTTTCAAGCAGGGAAGGCAAGGGCGCGAGGAAAGAAAGGAGAAGTCAATGGCGCTCCCGAAGGGCCACGGCTTTTCTCCTTTCCCCCCGTTCCCCCGCAGCAAAATGGTCGCTGCCGCCTCCGCGAAGCTATGAATGAAATGTTTACGGTCCAAGGAAGAGGTCGAACTATTCGGAAAGCGGGGGGGAGAGAGGCCACGGAAGCTCGGGGCTGGTCGCGGGCCGCGGCTCACAGTCAGTTTCGTTTTCAAAATACCCAGGAGCACTCATGGCGCTTCGGAAACGGCAAGTCCCGTTCGGATTTTGAAAATGAGATACCCTCCCCTCTTTCTGCCTCCTCCCCTTTCCTTCCCGAGAATGGTACGCTCACTCCCTGTCCGCTTTCATCCGGCTGTCGGAGCGACGATTGGCTGGGTGCTTTTTAAAGGGGCAGGCAAGGCGCGCTTTTTCTACCCTCCGACTGCGCGTTTCCTCTCCCAGCGGCCGTCCTGTGAGCTTTCCGTTCTTCCGCAGTTTCCTCGGCGGCCCGGGAGACACGGGGGACCGACAGGGCGGCGAGCGCGAGGAACCGTCGAGCCCCGGACCGGCGGGGCGGGCGGGATGAAGAGGGGGGCTCCCCGGCCGCGGCCACCACGACGGCGGCGGCGACAACAACGGCGGCGGCGGCTAGGCCCCGCCGCGGCGCTGCCATGGAAACGGGCGAGGACGACGGCGGCCGCCGAGGGACACACGCGGGGCCGGAACGGCGCTTGAGGCGCGCGGAGCGCCAGCGGGCCCCGCCGCTGCTGAGGGGCGCCGCCGCCGCCATGGAGGCCGGGGGCGGCGGGGGCAGAGGCGGGCCGAGCCAGGCGTCGGCGGCGGCCTCCCCGCCGCGCTACCGCCTAGTGGCGGAGATCGGGCGCGGCGCCTACGGCGTGGTCTACGAGGCCGTGTCCGGGCGCAGCGGCGCGCGCCTGGCCGTCAAGCGCATCCGCTGCGACGCGCCCGAGAACGTGGAGCTGGCGCTGGCCGAGTTCTGGGCCCTGACCAGCCTGCGCCGCCGCCACCCCAACGTGGTGCGCTTCGAGGAGTGCGTCCTGCAGCGCGACGGCCTCGGGCAGCGCATGAGCCACGGCAACAAGCAGAGCGCGCTCTACCTCCGCCTGGTCGAGACCTCCCTCAAAGGTAAGGGCGCGCGGCCCCCCGCTGCGCGTTCCCGGTGGGGAGAAAGTGGGGGACCCTCCCCGCTCCTCTTCTGGGGAAGAAATGGGGCGCTATGTCAGACTTGGCTGCTTCTCGAAGCGGAGGCAGCCGATCTATTCAGCTCCCCCCCCCCCCGTGTCTGAAGAAGAACTGGGGGCCCGCAGGAGTCCCTCCTGCCACAAAACGCGTCCCCCTCTTTAGCCCACGCACTGAACAAAGAGGAGCGTCATGGGAAGGGTCTGCACAGACAAGCAGGACTCTCCCCCCTCCCTGCCCATTGTGCTTCCCTATGTGAAGACAGAAGTAAAGGGGTGGAGGAAGGGGACTCTGGTAGTTGTTGGGAGGGGGCGTGGCCATCCCTCTGACCTGGGGGGGAGGCTCTCTGTGCCTGGGTATCCTTGTTTCCCAGCATGTAGGGGGTCATACTGGCCTGATTTGTGCATAACACTTAGCCATGATGTAGCTTGTTGAAGTCCTTCTTATGGTATCTGAACTGACCCCTGCAAAAACAATGGTAGCCAGCCAGCTACAGATGTAAGCAGGGGCTTGTTATTGCTAGGCTGCAAAGGCTTGCTTCTTTAAATCATGGCTTGTTATGGTGCCTTGGATAACCAGAACCCTGGTTTATCCCAGGCTTGTTTCCACTACTGCCCATCTTGAAACAAACTAGAAGTAGGGAAAGCAAACCGTGGCTTGTTTGCTCTTCTGCAAGACAATCCATGGCAAAAGGAACAAACCACAGCTAATGTAACTTGATAGATTAGTGTTCTGTGTATATGCCCATGGTCTGCATATAATGCCAGTTCCTGGGTTAAACAATTCAGGAATTGGCATGACCATACAAAAGCAAGAGACCACACTATTTCCTACCCTTTCACCACTTACAATTTCTGTCAGTTTTGGGAAATGAGTGGCCTCATTTCTGAGTTTTGATCATTATACTGTACTCTGGGTTGTTTCTGGAATTAGATGCGGGGAAGAGTCAGCTTACTTGCAGATACTACCAAACAGCTCCTGGGTTATGGGTTGTTTGACCCCATGAGCCCTTCCATTGAGACTTCTGACCTCATTCCCAGAAGAGAAGGTGAATAGCATCCTCCCTTCATGGGACTTCCAATAGATGCATACTGTACTTAGAATTTCAGTCAACTTTCTCTAGTATATAGTGAGGTAAAGCAGGATGAGGCTGTGAGAAATGTAGGAAGGGAGAACAGCTCTATAGTCATCAAAGAGAATAATGGCCATCTCCCAAGCTTGGCCTGTTCAACTGTCCCTTAGTAAACTTGGGAGGGAACTGAGGTGTGCTGGTATATAACAGAGGAAATCTTTAAAGGGCACCTTAAAATTTAAAGGAACATCCTGGGAAAGCTGCACCTTCAAGGTATTGGAGGGAGAAGGGGATCTGCAGACAGGCCCTGTGCTACACATCAAAATGTGTAGGGAGGCCCTTGCGGAGGTGTATGCAGAGATAAATATGGCCGGCAGTGGGGGGAAGGAAGATATCTATGTATGAAGCAGAACTGTTCATAGAAGCAGAACCATTTCATTTGCCTGATCCTGTGAATAGGGGTTTCTAAGCTGCTGTACATAACATACACTTAAGGGAGAGGGAAAGCATTTCATGTACGCATAATCCGAGATAATGAGCCCCCAAGCTGATGGAGCTATTACTCGAGGCTGAATGGGGAAGGCAGGCACTTGCTTCCAGGTTGGAGATAAACAAAACCCTATGAAAAAATATTTAGATCTTATGCCAGGTTTGTACATACGTCGACAAAACTTCCTGGTCTGCCTGCCAAGGAACATCTTGCAAGGGCCTCAGAGGAAAGGGTATCTGAAGTTGCCCTCTGCTTCCATGTTGGGGGGAGACCTTAATGGTCCTTACAGATTAGAACACAGGATGCCACTGGCTGACAATTGTCCACGCCATCCATTCCCAACCTGAGTCCCTGCAGAGGTTTTGGACAACAGTTCTCATCATCCTTGGCCATTGGCTGTGTTGGCTGGAGCTGATGGGATTTATAGGCCCAAACAGGTCAGAGGTCCTTCTCAGCTTGATTTAGGACTCCAGGGTTTCACACAAGAGCCCTTCCCAGCCAAATCGAGAGAATTTAGCCTGAGACAGCTTGCATGCAGGGCATGTGCTTTACGTGTACCACCAAGTTATAGTCCTTCCCAAAATATAGGAACTTTTCATACTCTCCCTGTGTGGCCTTTTTCCAAACAGACCTGAGGTGCCTGAGTCACATACCTTGTTAAGAGTGACCCTGAACAGGGCGTGGAACATGCAGGTCCCTGGGGGGACATTTATGGGAATGCCAACAGAATCTCATGGCGGGGTGGGCAGCTCTTTACTTATTCCCCTCTAGAAGGCCCGCTGAGTCCATCCAGCAAGGCTGGGTCTGGGTCACCACCAGAGTTCTCTTGTCCTGACTTGTCTCCTCCCTTCTCCACTCACTGCAGCATCTCTTTTCAGGCCTCTCTGAGGCCGGTTTTGTGACCTCATAATGCACACACCTTGGTTCTTTCCACGGTGGCTGTGAGGGACAGAAGAGGTCAGATTCCAGAGTTCTCCAGACCAGAGAATCGCTTTCTTAGCTATTTATCTTCCTGTTTTACTATAAACTTCCCTGAGATCTTTGGGCAGTATAAATATCTCCTCAATAAAGTCTTGCTCAGCCTTGAGGGCTGCGGTGAAAACACTGGCATTCAAGAAGGCCTTACATTTGCAACAGTGAAGTCGTAAGCGCATTGGGGATTGCAGCCGTTCCCTGAGTAGAGACAGTACCCATGTTCTGGCGCAAGTTACCCTTTCTTGCTGACCTTTAAACATCAAAGCATCACCTCAGTAATTAAAATTTGAACTAGGAATGTGATTCTAATCAAAGCAGTGGGTCATACTTCATGCATCTCTGTCTTGGAGCACAATACTGGGGCTGCCAGATGCTCTTTGGGCAGCCATGGGACAGGTCGGAGACCCAGCTCTACCCTCAGTGTGGCTCTTTCGATGACAGTGCTGCTCCGAAGGCACAAGCGCAACTTTGGAGCCAGTGCTTGGCGGCGGTGGGGGTGAGCCTCCACCTGGTGTGAGGAACCCCGGCGGAACCCTAGCCCTCCTCGTGGGCCGGCGTGGTCGATGTCTGTTTTTCCAGAGACGTGCGGAGGCCACCCTTGCCTCCGTATTCCCCCTGCGCTCGACTGTGTGCCTGTAATCCGCTGCGTGTCGAGAGCTCTTGACAGCCACAGTGGAGAAGCAGCCCCAGTGTTGCATAGGAGCCCTGCAGGGACCTTACTTAACGCTAATGGGGCCTTTAGAGAATTGACCCTGACATTAAGGTCCTTGCACTTGAATCGTGAACATACTCAAGCATTGTCTGTGTGTGGTTAGGCTCATCAGAGGCCTAAAAGAAAACAGTCGATTACCGTAAATATTTCATTTGCGGGCACCTGAAGGCAGTGCTTACGTGCCAGAAAGGACAAGTGCCTCTTCCTCTGACTGCTCCAAATTCATCACGTTCTCCTGGACCTCCGGTTACCTCAGTATGTAGGCTTAGCTTACAGACTTCCACATATCCCTCAGTGTGTATCTTTGGCTGCCCTGGTTGAATAATGGCTGTCTTGGGTGACCACGCTGGAGTTAAGCCTGGAGGATCCCTGTGCATGTCAAGATCTGAGTACCACATAGCGCTCTCCCTCGCACGCTCCTAGCACTAGCCAGCTTGGACTAGCAAAGACCTCCTAAAGGAGCCCCCCTTTCCCTGTCGCTTCTTCCTACTGTGTCTGTCCTTGCCCTGTCCTCTCTGTCAGTCAGCCCCTGTCCTATCCTGAATCTGCGAACGCATGCCCCTCCGTATAGCAGGCACACAGCAATTATGTCTACAACCCACGCGGTGGGGTTGGTTCTCTTTGGGCAGGGGAGCAAATGCCAAATCATGGGGGAGAGCAAGGAGCGAGTGGGCCTTCCGCGGAGCGATTCTTGGGCGAAACGTTGCCCGTGTTTTTATTCCTTTGCATTTAACACCTGCCCTCTTTGAGAAAGGGCATTCCGCAGGCCGAGCGAACCTGCCGTGTGTGGAGTCGGAAGCGAGAGCGTGTGCCGCAGCAACGTGCAGAACTCTAGCCCCAGCCTGAGCCTGCGCTGGGCTGCCTGCTCGCCCAGAAGCCTCTGCAGAGCAGGCTCATTACAGATAAGCCAAGCCCTTCCACGTGCCAGCCAGCACGCTGCACAGGCCGTCCTCGTGGGAGCACATGGACTGCCCAGATGGGCACTGCAGAAGTACGCAGGGCTCATCCGCCACGCACCAGCAGCCTCTGAGCTTCTGACTCTCGCGCATCAGCCCCACAGCCAGCCGCTCCGCACTAGCGCTCAAGCCTTGCTGCTCCGATGTGGAAGGCACAGGGGTGGCCCAGTGTGCAGGGAATACTTACAAACCTGATTTTTCAGTGCAGTTAATGAATGTGGGAAAGGTATAAATCGATCGCTAAGCTGGTTTTGTCAGTGCATTCTAAAGGCAAGATCCTGTGCAAATTTAGCACAGTGCGATCCGATGACATTCCTTGGAAGGAATGTCCTTTTTGTTCAGGTGAACTTTCTCTCAACATGGAAACAGAGCAAGTCCGAAGGGGCCTCCCGGGCCATCTAGTCTGACCCCTGGATCCAGCCGGCTCCGCTCACGACATGCCCACCATGTGCACGTCCAGCCTATCCTTGAACACCCTCACCGATGGGGCCTCAGCGACCTCCCGGGGAAGCCCATTCCACACCCTCGGGGTCCTGACTGTCAGGAAGTGCTTCCTGGCATCTAAATGGAACCTTGGGGTACAAGTCTTTGTGTGGTGTCATGTTTATATTGGATGGATACTGTAATCTGGCACTCCATAAACTGTGCCCCACCCATTACAGGCTGTGATTCTGCTTAAACCTAGTTATGCTCGAGGTGGAACTGGAACATTACAATATCCAGTCTAAAATATGTTGCAAAATTTCAAACAATAGGGTTGCATTTTAAACTGATTTTAGTGTCTTGAAAGTCAGCTAACTGTAACCAAAACTAGATCTGTCAAGTCCTAAATTTAATCATGAATCTTACCCAGGAAAATGTTTATGGAAAGGATATATTTTAAACACTTTGGAAATAATCTAATGAACTGTTTAGCAAGTGCCAGACAAGGTGTCAGACATTGCTTTCCTTCTACCGAAGCTACCTTTTTTCTACTAGCTCTTCAAACACAGTAGGCACCATGGCAGAAACACCGGTAAATCTTGCCAGAAGTCTTAAGCTTTGCATTTTCAAAGTTGTTGGAAGGTGGTGAGCCGTCAACAGCTTGATAGAAAATATGTCAATAGAACAGTTCCTGAAACTTCGCTAAAACTGAAACAGAACCCATTTGTGATTTCAAAGCAGCAAATAAAAAAATGGGGGGCTGGCGTGTCTTGGCGGCAAAGAGATGATAGTTTTTAAAGTGGCACTAGAGAGTATCTTCATCTGTACTTTGTACACTCACCCACTTGTGCCTCTACTAAGCGTTTTGTAGGGTTTATTTATTTATTTTGCAGTGCATTAGAAACCTAGGAAACCTGTTTGGCCAAAGAGGAAGGGGAGACACGTGGTCAAGAAAAAGGAGCTCATTAAGGGCAGTGAAATGCCTCGGCCCCGATCCCAAATGAATGGCCACGACACGGAGTAAGTGGCCGCAAGTCCCTGGTGTAGCTGGCCCACAGTGGCTGGCTTCCTTGATCTCTTCTGGAAGCATGCTCTTCTGTGCTAGTATCTATTGCCTTGGGAACATTTTCATGGTATTCCTGTAATAAACATAAGACAGGGTGGCCTCAGTGTGCCAGGGATCAGGCACTTAGCAAGGCATTATTCATTGCTATCGGGCAGAGGCTTATGACAAGTGACTGAAAGAGCAGAGCCTGTGCTATTAAAAATAACCTTGTTTCTTAATGGGGTGGTGGTGAGGGTTTAATGAAGCTCGCCAAGAGCCTGCGTGGCTTGCAGCTTCATTAACTGACCCCATAGGACTTGCTTTCAAGGGCAGAAGCAAGCTCTTCAGTTTCCATTTTGTCACCGCCTTTCCTCTTCGCCTCTTGTTCTTGCCCGGAGATTAAGAACAAAATCCTGAAGTATCACCCAGCAGCTTGTTTCACAGAAAAGGAGCTTCGCCCCGCTCCACCCTGCTTTCCTGTTGGCAGTCAGATTTCTTGCTGGCCCTGGAGATCTGCAGCCCACACCCCCTTTGACGAGTGTTTTCTTCTGCTGCTTCTCTTAACAGGTTTTCCTCACTCGGGATTGAGAAGGAAGGGTGGCCAAACCATAATACAACCTTGCATTGCCATAGTAATAGTCATGGTGACAGCATTGTTTATGCAAATAAGCAGCCCTCTTCACTCTTTATCCACTAGTCATGATTAAAGAAGCTGTTGTCAGACCTGGTAGCCCTTCACGCCTAGCTGCGTTGGGTCATACTTGACTTCATTTCTTTGGAAGGCCTATTTCGCTCTTTGTGAACTTCCCAGGTTTCCCCTCCAAACTCCTTAACTTGCCATAAGGTGGCAATGGCGATATGATTGTGATGCACAAGAATCCAAAACACAACTCTGCAAGAAGAGCAGAGATCATTCATAGTTCTTTATTTGTAGTGGGGTGAGCGATCCTAAGTGAACTTACTGCAGCGTAAGGCCCACTCAACTCTGGAGCTGACTTGCTTCCGTGTCCATATGGGCTGTTCTTGGGCTTGGGAACTGAGTCACTGGACAGTTTTTGTAGCATTGTGGTAAAAAACACTCACTGTACTTTTACAGAGCAAATAAATGTTCATATTGCAGCGATGAAGTGCTAGAAAATAGGGTTCAAGACTAGCGGCAAACGTTTAAATCTGGCCAACTGCACTTGAAAGCAGCCCCCTGTGTTTCTTTCCTTCCCGGCAAAGTTAGCTTGCTTCAAAGCCGAAAATTAAGGTTACTTACACAGTAACTGTGCGCGCTGCCTCCGCCTCAGTTGTGTTCACTGATCTCCTACTGCGTCACTATCAAGCTGTCCGTTGCTTTACGGTCGCTGTGCTGCGTGACTGACAGCACTGCGCCAGCACATCCCAGAGAACCCAGCGGGGCCGAGCAATCCCCTCTCTGTCTCACCAAGAGACTGTGACATGTGTGGCTGCTGGATGAAAGCAGATGGAGCTATCCATATCTCCAGCTCAGTCCTTTCTCTCAGTGCACGCTCTGCGTGGTTTCCAGGCTCGTGGAAGCATGAGCACAGAAAGCCCCTGTGTTCTTACCTCTCTGCCAAAAATGACACTCGCCTGGGCTTTCCACATCTTTCAAACTGTTTTTCTGTTTGTTTTGTATTTTACTGTAGTTGCTTGAGTGCCACTGGAGGGAAGGCTGGGTACAATTTTAGCTAATAAATAAGACTAGAGAGCAGGTTCTTAATATCCTTGTCTGAACAGCTTTTCTAGTGAGTTCATGGGGAGTCCTTAATAAAAGATATTAGAGCTGTTCTACCGAAAGCCATAATGATAGTTTGTCTCACCCAGCACTGTTTACCCTGATGGATGCAGCTTTCCAGGGTTTCAGAGAGAAGTTCTTTCCCAGCCCTGCTACTGGAGATTTCTAGCTGGGTTTTCCTAGGGGGCACAGATGGCTCCTGAAGGCATCCAGCAGATGGACTCTGCGGTCAGCAGTGGCAGTGCTTCAAGTAAACATGTGGGCTGGTCTCTCAGCTGAAGAATGGCCATGTTGTACAGGGTGGCTGCGGCGGATGCTTTGTGCAAGGCCAGAGAACAACGTGAATGGGCTACGGCAGGGGCAGGGAGGGTGGGCGGCTAGATGCCTCCCAGGTATGTTCAGCCACCACTCCCTTGTTCTTTCAGCATTGTCCAAGCTGGCTGGAGCTTACCTGGCTGGTACCCCAAAACATCAGGAGGGTGCCGGGTTGCCTGCTCCTGGGCTAGATGACTATCAGCACAGGGGGTCTGAGTGATCAGGGTCCCTCCATCCCTAATAGCCCACAACACAATATAGTAGGATGTGATCTCAGATAGACATACTATACATGCAAAAGAAATAACATTTATGGTTGAAGAATTTTGAGCACAAACTTGACTCGAGTGCCCAAACTGAATGGAGCTTGCAGCCCTTCTACATAAAATTATCAGCTTTTGATTACCTAAGCATTCTGCATTTTGGAAGCCTACTTTAGTCAGGTATTGTTTTGCTGCTGTTATTTTGTTGAACAATTAGCAGAAATTGAAACTGTCTAAAGATCTACCAGTAGATTCAAATCTGCCCTCTGCCCACCCTGAAGTAAATTACAGCTACACTTGATCAGTGGTCAATATCTCTGTACCACAGTTGCCCAGTGACTAATATTCAGAGACATGACTGTCTCAGACCCAGAAAGTAGGATAGATAAACATCCAAGTTTTAATTGTAATCAGATTTTAAAAATTTTAAATGGTTGTTAAGAGAGAAATTTACTATATTATTTTTAATAGGTAGTTAAAATCGATCCTCATAAACAGGCTAAACCTGTACTTATAAAAATGACTCATAAAAATGAAATCATGGTCAAAAATTTCTGCTCTTGTGAAAATGGCTCCACTGAGCCTTACAACTTTTTTTCTTGAAAGTTCTGGGCTTTTGATTTTTCTGACTAATGCCACCTGAGATTTTCTTGAGAAAGTTACCATGGTACATTGGGGGTAGCTGCTCATTCAGAGTGTGGAAGGTTCTTCCCTTATTGACAGTTGGCTCTTTTTCTAAGTCTGCCATTCTGTAGAATATGGCTGGATGCCTTTCCGTTTCTGTAGTAGAACAAAGCAGCTGATGAGCAATAATTGTTTAGCATCGGTGTCATCTTGGTTTATTCAGCTCCATCTGTAAGGCCTTGCTAATGGAGGCTGTGATTTCAAATTCATGGCTGCCACATTAGTTACCCCACTGTTCCAACATAGCGGTAGGAGTTTTTCACACACACCATATTTTCACTGACATTGGTGTGATTTATCTGTGGACAGAGGGGCCTTGGATTGGAAGCTGGCGCCTGAAAGATCACTGCTAGTCAGTGCGAGAGAAAGCTTGCATTGGAATGTCTGCTTGGGTAAGAGGCCATTCCTGTGGGATCTGAAGTCTTCCACAGAACCCCAGTTCTGTGTGTTTCTGTAGCAGCTGTCATGATTGGAGAAGGTCCAATCATCCATTGGAGCTGTGTCCGTGAAGGCTTCCTGGGTTCAAAAGAGCCAGGATCCAGCCTGCCCTGCCTACATGACCTCCAGCCATTGTTCCTGGGAGCCTCTAATGGGCATCCACCAGCTCTCCTGTCTACCCCCCCATGCAGTTTGAGCAGTATGGTCAGTACAGGAGGTTTGTAAGAGTTCTCAGCTGACCTTGGGGAGGGACACTAGAAAGATGCACGTAAGTTGTGTGCTTCTGCAAGTTCTGATCAGTCTTGGATATCACCAGATCTTGTTCAAGCAGTAATTGTCTTCCTTGTCTTTCTCCCTGTCTCTGGCAAGGTGAGAGGATCCTGGGCTATGCTGAAGAACCTTGTTATCTTTGGTTTGTCATGGAGTACTGTGAAGGAGGAGACCTGAACCAGTATATCCTTTCTCGCAGACCGGACCCAGCCACCAACAAGAGTTTCATGCTCCAGCTGACAAGCGCGATCGCCTTTCTTCACAAGAACCACATCGTGCACAGGGACCTGAAGCCAGACAATATCCTGATCACAGAGAAATCAGGTGCTCCCATTCTTAAGGTGGCCGACTTCGGCCTCAGCAAGGTGTGTGCCGGCTTGACTGCTCGAGGCAAGGACGGGGGGAACGATAACAAAAATGTGAATGTGAACAAGTACTGGCTGTCTTCAGCTTGCGGCTCCGACTTCTACATGGCTCCCGAGGTCTGGGAGGGACACTACACTGCCAAGGCAGACATCTTTGCCCTGGGCATCATTATCTGGGCCATGATTGAGAGGATAACGTTCATCGATGCCGAGACCAAGAAGGAACTTCTGGGGACCTACATCAAGCAGGGGACGGAGATTGTGCCTGTCGGGGAGGCGCTGCTAGAAAACCCAAAGATGGAGTTGCACATCCCCCAGAAACGAAGGACTTCCATGTCCGAGGGGATCAAGCAGCTCTTGAAAGACATGTTGGCTGCTAACCCACAGGACCGACCCGATGCCTTTGAGCTTGAATCCAGGATGGACCAGGTTACTTGTGCTGCTTAAACTCAGGTCAGAGCGTTGGAGTGCTTTGAAAACTGGGGTAGGTATTCACGGTTTTTCTTGACTGGTTTGCACAAGTTTGTGGGGTGGCAGAAGCCCTTTTTGTGTTAAGCAGCTTGCCGAGTGCATGGATGTGCTCACACTTCTGAGAATTGTTTCCCTCGCTGAGAATTCCACAAGCCTTGCCTAGTTCTTCGTTTAGGTAAAAGCCCTTCAGAAAAGAATGGATGCTGGTCAAATGGCATGAGAGCTTTTTCCCAGCAGCCCCCTGCCTTTCCAGCTGAATGAGCTTAACAGCGTGTACTGAATGAGATGAAGGGCCAAGGTGTTGAACCACTAAAAAGCAGGTCTTTTGCTATAGGACCCATGCATTTGACACAGGAAGCCTGCATCCTGTACATGACGCATGCATGCCATCCGAGAAGGAGGATTCCTCTGGTGTGTGCAATAAGGGAGAAGCCACTTCTGAGATGGTGCTTGCCTCATGCTGCTGTTAGAAGGAGTCAATTAAACATGACCTATTGATTTTTTTTTAAACAAAACTTTCACCCAGTTACTTGGGGACACCTTTAGTTGATTTTTTGAATCAGGTTATCTAATCGATTAAACTTTGTAGCCCTAAAGGCAAAGTATACTTGCTCGCTTCCATGAGGGCAGTGAGCTGTCACTTGTCAACCAGATTATGCTGCGGCGCATTCTGAATACTGTTGTGAGCTGGTCCCTTCCCTCTTTTCTGGTTATCACACCCAAGACAATCCTTTGCAGCACAATATTTCGTGGAAACTTGACAGATACCAGGACAGTATGAACTCTACCTAGCCTGCTGCCAAAGTTGAGGGAGAAGCATCTGCCCATGTAAAGAGCTGAATCCAAGCAGGAAACTTCCCCTCTGTCCCTCCCTCTCCCGAAAGCTTCTGACTCCACCGTCAGGGTGGCTCTTGCTGCTTGAGAGGACCCTCCAGCTGGACAGCTCATTTTCCATGAAGCCTCTTTACTGGTTTGAGGACTGGGTCTTGCAGATGTTCCCTCTCCCATTCTGAAAACCCTTCTGCCCCTTTCGGAGTCACCTGGTTGCACACTGTACCTGAGAAATTCACTAGGTAACCATAAAATGGGAAAGTCCTTGCCCCCACCCCCCGCACCTCCAGCTCCCTAAAATCAGCAGAATCTACCTGAACTGTCTGTAATGATTGAGAGACAGACTCACTCTCTCCAAATACCATTCCTCTTACAGTTGTGGGTCCAGTGCCCCAGTGTGGCAGCAACTGGATGAAGAACTTCAGAGGGTCCTCTGTCTGAGCGAGGGCCTCACTCCCAAACTCCCTCTCTTGCAGACATCGCTGATGTCGAGCAACCACACTTGGTATTCTGGAACGACCTTGTGTGCACAGCTCCACTTATTTTGGCTGGCCAACAAGATTTGCGCTTGGCGTGGCAGGCGGAGGGAAGGGCAGGTTACTGTTGGGCATCACCCTGTGCTCAAGGAAGCTTTGAACCGGGACGGTGAAGGACAGGAGGGGCTTGCCTATCCCTGTTTCACAGTCATGAGAACGCAGGAAAAGCCGCGAGGGAGTCCCAGTGTTTTCAGACTTCTCCCAAGTCAGGAAGAGCCTCCATACTTCTGCAGGCTTAGCGTGAGTGTGGCGATGCTCCCCGGCACTACAGTTGCCACTGAAGAGGTGCTTTTGTCAACAGCAAGGTGTCAACAGCAAAGCACAGGTATTTGTCGTATCCTTGGACGTGGCGTTTGGAGAGCCCCAGGATGCTCTGGGGCCTTAAGTAGCGGCCTGGCTGGTCAGCTGCACTATTTTGGCATCCCACGTGACACCTTTGCGTCCTGTTATCCCCACTTAAGCATGATGGCAGAGCAGGGTTTCCGTGTTCAAAGACAGCACACTGCTGAATAATGGTTCCTACAGGAACAGCCTGGGAAGGTTACACGACCTTCGGGCCATACTCCCTTGGGGCTTCCCAGAAGCATCTTGTTAGTGAGTCTAGGATGCGAGATCCTGGACTTGAAATATGTTTGGTCTGATTGGTAGGACTCCAATGTCATGCAGCCACTCCCAGGAGAAATGAGTCTTATAGCCATTGTTAATCCTGCGCATTACACAGGGTATTCAGTGTTCAGGCGCACCTTCCTCATTCCGTTCCAGAAAAGGGGAAGTAATTACTGAAAGAACAATAACCCGAGCACGTTAAAATCAAACTAAGTTCCAAGCACACTGCTGAGTCGAACATTTTAAATGCAGAATGGAGTGGAGGAAGCTGTCAAGTCATCTTTCTCCTTTATCATAATTTGAACAGCTGTTGCACCACCATTCCCATTCCTCCCATAGTCCAAACTGCCCATGAGCAGGTTGTTGGCTCAGTAGCCACAGGAGTGTCCCCCTTGTGGAGTGCCTTGTAAGGACTTTGGTGACTCTTGGTGGTTTCATTAATGAGGAACGTGGCTGGTCTTGTTCCACTTCCCGTTCCTAGCAGTGAAGAAGGGCCATCCTGCTTTTTCTGTGCAGTGTCAGCCGTGCCCTCATGGCTACCTGGGCCAGACTGAACCTCCTGCATGGAAGGAGCAACATGCACAGAATGACTGTTGCTCCACTCGTCACTAGGGCCTCGTGAGGAAGCTGGACTTTCTCAGTCCGCTCCTGAATCAAAATACGGAGGCAACTGGAACCTTGTTTCCTTTCCAGGCACTGCCTGTAAAGTACCTACTCATTTCAGACATGGAGCATTTGCAGAGCCATATAGACTGTCTTACCCTGGATGCACAGAGCCGAAGAACTTGGCTGGAATTAATGGAAAGTGGTAGTTACTTGACAAGGCATTCCAGAATGCTACTCTAATGAACGAATGCTTGGTCAGGCAAAGTGAGCCATTCTCCTAGAATAAAGTGGCACAAGTCAGTACTGGGGAATGCAAGTTGGTGTGACTTTTACATAATGCTCAGCATAGGAGATGACTGCTATTTATGAAGTGGCAAAAATGTGAATCAAGATGCCTGAAAGACGGAATGTTTGGGTGGGAGTGGCGTTTACTGTCATCTTTGCACGGGACTTCACTCTACACCTAAGGCCTTGATCAGCCTCTTTACTTGGCTGGGACTGCAAAAAGAAGAGGTTGGTGGGCTGGTCAGCTGCATTTGACATGGTGGGTCAGAAATTGTGCAGGCCTCCCTTGAGGACTGATAGTTAAATCAACTTTCTAAGAGCGGGTCTTGTATCAGAGAGTGTTGATCTCCCTGTGCTAGAAGCCACTGTCCGTTCGTCCTCCCAAGGACATTCTGCAAAAGGTGTTCTGGCAGCCCTGACGTCCAATTTCCTGCAGCCGTTGTGACTGTCTTGCCCTCCAGCGTGCATTCCAGAAGTTACATAAACGATGCGCTGTTCTTTCTGCACAGTAGTTCAGAATGTGCTTAGATAAGAATGTTAATGTGGGTTGTTGCCTAGTGGTGCATGAGAGCTTCTCAGAACAGTTGCTGTGGCAAAGGAAAAGCTTAGATGGAGTTAGCCAAGACAAGTGGCCCGTGTAGCCCAGTAGAAAGTGGACAGGGAGACATTTAATTTAATGTAATGTAATTTACAGATTTCTATGCCGTCCTAGGCAAGAAGCCTCAGGACGGCTTACAAAGATTTCTCTAACTCTGCATAATACTAAAACACAGCATCATCCCATGAAGCTGATTGGTGAGAGTTTCAGGACAACTAAGAAGAAATATTTCAGCTAGCACATAAAGTATGGAATTAATTTCAGTGAATTGTACTGATGGCCACCAGTTGGATAGCTTTAAAACCAGTGTGATGCTTGGAAACATTTGTCAAGGAGGTGGCCATCAGGAGCTACTAATCCTTATGGCTTTATGCTGCCTGCAGTAGCAGAAGCAATCTACCTGCTTATGCCAGTTGCTGGGGAACATGGGTCGGAAGATGCTGTTGTACTCAGGTCTTACTTGTGGGATCCCATGGGCAGCTAATTGGCCACTCTGTGAACAGAATACTGGGCTAACTGAGCCCCCGGTCTGGTCTAGCACAGCTCTTCTTACGTTAATATATTCTTATGTCCATGTTGAGTTATTATGGACATAAGAGCATATTAATATCAGCAAACCCAATATCAAGCCCAGCAGGCTTCCTTGTTAGCATGAATTTAGTAAGACCAATCTTGGATCCATGGCATTAATTTCTGAAGCTGCAGCCCTTCCTGGATGGCCAAGTCTTGAAATGCAAGGAGGACTGTTTTGCCTCTAATTTCCCCCAAAGTTTTTGTTTAACGTGACAGAGAACAAAGCTTTATATGTAGAGCTACTCTGCTCACAAAGCTGAAGTGGGACTGGTCCCTCCCCACAGAGTTCATATAGAAAGGGGAAGATGGTACAATACAGGGCGTGTTTTTGAAAATGCTAAAGGTCTTTGGAATAATACTGAATTTCCCCATCCTGATGATATCTTTCAGTTGGTCTTTCTTGACCAAGAGAGGGTTACACCAATTTCTCTCCACATGTGTGCGAGGCAGGTAGCCCTTCTCTCACCTTGCCCTACCAAACGCCTCCAGTGTGTCCACACTGATGTTGCCTCAGCTTTGAAAAAACTGCACACATTTGTACTACTGTAAAGTATATTAAGTGTTCGGCACCACTTTGTCACGTCTGATGTGCAGACGTACTTTGACAGGTCCAGAGAGGGCAGGCCGGCCGGCCGGCCGGCCTGCCTGCCTGCCTGCCTTTTTGCAAGCTTTTTAATAAGAAAGTAAAGTTAAAAGTTACTTCTCCAGCCTCCCAGATAAGAATAGAAGTTGTCTCAGGTTTTAATTCATGAACCAGGATTTGATTTAATGGCAACTCTGTCTCAGACTATTTAATTGGAATACAGCAATTGCGGCAGAGGGGGGAATGCCAGGGTGAGTGACTGTTCCTCCTCTCGGGTGCACGGGGGTGATAGCACAGTCGCCCACCGCCCTCTTATTTTCTCCCCCTGCCCGCCCCCACCCCCAGCGCAGCCTGTGCTTCCCATCTGTGATGATCTCTCATGCTCTGCTAACTCG